TTTTTTTTTTTTTTTTTTTTTTTTTTTTTTTTGTCATCACGGGGATGCTTAATGATCAGAAGGGGCACATTTTCCAATCTGGGATTGCGCGTTAAGTTAGAAAATGTCTCTAGCAACAGTTAGTTATGAGAGGTGGCGAAGGAACTCGCTTGCAAAGACTGGTTTAGGGAAAGATCTTGCTGCCGAGGCTGTCCTGGGAGAGCCCTGCTCAAGAGAGCTGACAGCAGCAGGCAGGGTTCAGGCAATGGTGGTCCTGACACCCAGCAGCGAAGCGAGCAGCGTTAGAGACGTGCCCTCGTCTCAGCGAGGCTGGGTACCCAGAGTGTGACCTGTTTTTTTGGCTCTCGGGTGTTGGGACGCCCAGGTTTCAGGAGAGACGTCTATGTAAAGGGAGAGGGTACCTTACTGCATCAGAACAAAATAATTTTGTGTCAACTTCTAGCTCATTTCATTCCTTCTCTGAAGGCTATTTTGTTAACTTTAGCAGAAAATAACCTGTTTAATTAGATCAACTAGATTATTTTTAAGTATACTGTTTCTCCAGCAGTCAAGGTTAAAATCCAGTGGCTGAATAGTCTAATATAATGTGATGATGAAAACAAGTGCCACAAAGCTAGCAAGGGTGAACTAATGCATGCCTCACAGCTATTTGGCTTTCTAAGTCTGTTTTTTGAATCATAAACCTTCTTGGAAAGGGCCTGGCTTGGTATTTAAATGGCACCATGCATGATGTTTATGCTTGGGGGCTAATGTTAATATGCTTTTGGCAGTATTTTATTGAGCTGGATAAGAAATTAAACTGATTGTCATGCTAGTATCCTGTTTTTCTGACAAAACACAGAAGCTCTGTGGTTGACTGAGTTAAGACCTTTCTAAATCAGTTGCAGCGTATCTACTGACATGGGAGATGTAGCTGTGTAATGCAGTTCTGAAAATGAGAAAGTGACTGAAAAGAAACCTGGACATTCTGCCATTCCTTAAAAAGGAACAATCTAGGGATGTTATTTCCTTACTGTTCTCTGAACTAGAACAGTTTTGTTCCGACTTCCTTTGGAACAAGTATTTCCTCGATTTCCTTTCCAAAAGTTTTTGGCTGTCCTTAAGTGCCCAGGCTCAAAACTCCTGGAGGGGGGAGAAACGCTGTGCCTGGGCACGTGGATGCCTCTGAGGGTTGCTTCCATGTTACCCATTTGAGTAACAATTCAAGAAAGTAAGGAGAAATTGAGGAACCGGTTGGCTGTGCTAGTGCTGGGCAAGAGGGTTTAGGCTATCGCAGCAGTTGACTGCTACTTCCGAGAGCAAAGGGAAAAAGTCTGGGAACTCCTATGGATGAGGAGGAAGGCTGGCAATATGGGTTCTAGGTAGCACAACACATAGGGACAGGGTATGAAGAATGAGACTTCTTGGTATGAGTTCCTTTCTCTCGTGAGCAGTACAGCGAATGAGGTGTGGGGGTCTGCTCTCAGCTTGCTAACCCGCAGCCGAACGGCCACTCTTGGCAGTTGAAGGACCGTTTTGGGGGGCCGGGGGGCGATTCTTTTGCCTTTCATTTCCTCTCTGTGTTGCAGCGGTTGAGGTTGGGAGCCACGCTGCGGGGTTCAAGTTGTGTGTTTCAGGAGAGGTGGCGGGCAGCGCCCACCTCTCCGTCTCCCAGTGCACAGGCACGGCGGGGGACCTCAGACCGTCCAGAGACTGTTTCGTAAGGGTCATTCATTACCAGGCAAACGCTTTGCATGAAAGCGTTCCCAGTTCCCCTGGTGCTTCCTTCCTGCCAGCAAAATCACTTCTGCTTTCCCTTGTGTAAAGCTGAACCCAGGTATGTCCCCTCCTCCAGAGAAGAGAGGGTGTTTATATCTTATTTGTACTCCCTTTGGGGGAGTGGACCCAGAGCTATGAGTTACTATGGGAATCTGTCAGGAAAGGGCAAAACTCGGCACCTTCTCCTGGCCCAGGCTCCCTCGCGTAGCCCTAACCCAAAATAGGCCCAGTGAGGGGTGAGGTGCTGGGAGCTGGAGCCTGGTCCCCACCCTCCTCTCGCCCTTCAGCACTCCAGCTGGGGGATTTTGGGGAATGTTTGATCAGCAAATACCTCAGGTAATGTAATAAAATGTGAAGGACGCTTACAATCCTAGCATAATTGAGGTTGGAAAGGATAACCTTTGGAGGTCATTTGGTCCATTCCTCTGCTTAAAGCCAGCCTAAATTAAAATTTAGATCAGATTGCTCAGGGCCTTGTAAAGCTTTTTATAAGATGTACGCAAAGATATACAGCTGCTTCTTCTGGAACACCATGGCCAGCTTATTCACTCCAACACAACTTACTCTCGACTTACGTTGTAAATTCAGGTTGCAGCATGTGGCCTGCGTAGCACAAGGCAGCTACTGTTTTTGTTGAACCAAAGTTAATTCAGTCATGGACTTCTACTTGCTGAAGCACTTTCTTTCTTTTTGTCTTTAATTCTGTGGAATTTTAACTCCATTACAAAGAAATAGCATTCTCCCTCTTTTGTATTAGTGGGAGCTAAATGCAAGTATCTTTACTTTTCCCCGCTAAGTAAGTAACGTTTCAATGACTGTTCCCTATATTTATTTTGAAACTGTTACTAGTATTAGTAACACCTAGCAGCATGTAAAGCCTCATTTTATTAAACTGCAATGAATGTAGGCTTCAAATCATCGCTTTGTGTAACCCAGGCAGCTGGAACAAACACGTTTCTAAGTGACTGGTCTTCCCATTGCTGCTGTTTCTTGGCTGAGGTTTCAGCAGGTGGGGATTTCCCCATGCCTAACAATGTGGCTGAACACTATATAGAGGCTGACAAAAGTGAGTTTTTGTTCCTCATTGCTTTGGTATTTCAGAATTTTATGTTATTTCACAATCGTTATAAATTATTCAGATGAAAAGCAGGGCACGACTGACAATGTGTTAATCTTGGTGACTGAACTGGAGGTTGTAGAAGGCGTCTAGAAAAAAAGCAATAGAAGAAAAGAGACAATTTTAATAAAAAGAAATAATCTTAGCTATTCTCTTTAGCATCATATCTGATGAAATGGAAGTTGAACTTTGTAAAAATCTTTGTTGCTTTCCTAGCTATAAAGCATATCAACATTTTCTAAATCCTAGATTGCACAGTGGCGTGTATGTGTGGTTGTAGGGAGAAAAAAAGATTCTGGGCTACTATAAAGCCTTTCTTTTAAATAAATCATACGATTCTGTCTCTACTCTCCCTTTACCAAGGGGTTCAGTTGTAATTCTCACTATTTCACTGAAGTTCAGGTAGTTGGAACATCTCACAGTATAAACTGATAAACTGATCTTTTGCTAGTTTAAATAACGTTTTTTTATTCATCTTTAATTTGTGCTGTTCCTACAAGCTGCTAGTTTTGTCAACATATTTTAATATGGTTATATAGTAAACTTGTTACTCTATATTACCAACTGTGAGAACAAGGTTTGTTATGTAGTTTGAACGTGTACTTTTGGATTTTTGAATTAGATGTGTAATTTTAAATTATTTCCTATGACTTTTTTTTAACCTGTACTCATATGGGGACTAGAATCCAATTAAAGTATGTAAAACAGGATGGTGGTTTTGTTAGTAAAGTCAGTAAAGTAGGAGAAAAAAAATATTAAAAAAAGGAACACTTTAAGACCAATTTATTAAACAAAGAGGATGTTGTGTATGTGAGGAGTTGGGAAGTGAGCTAGGTGCCACATCATCCCAGAACCATTAGACATCCTTTTGTGACATCTGCTTTTACTCTGGGAGTGAAGAGCAGGAAGGAACAGCTTTCAGTTTCAATTTGATCCCCAGCTTTGAATGACCATCTTCATTGAACTGAACTAGTTGGAAGAACCGTAACAGACGAAATATATTACTAGTTTAACTTGAATTGCATTCTTAGAATAATCTAGAATAACTAGGTTTATTGTTTATTTTAAAGCTTTTGATCCTATAAAAAAGAGCCCCTATATGGTTCTTTTTTGTACTTCCACGTATGGATCTCCTGGCTATTTTGGACCTCTGTCTTTAAGAGAAGTTGCTGCCATTGTCTTGCTTCTCTTGTCACCCCAGAGACTGAAAGGAGTATCTCTCAAGGTTGATGCTGGCATCAGCAAATGTTCTTTCTCCTTTTTTTTAACTCCTTTTAGCAACCCTGGAAGAGTAGAAAAAAAAGACAAGGAGTTGGCCCTTTCACTCATGATATTCTGCTGTGGAAGCCCACTCGTCCGTGCAAGCCCACCCTTTCTTATTGTGCGGAGACAAAAATCGCATACATGATATTTAGTAGTACCGCTTCAGAAGTGGAATAGCATAAAGAACTGAATAGGTGGTAGCATGGCGTCACGGCTGCTCCAGGATTTGCCCAAGCAGGTTTTGTAGTCAACATCAATACAGTAAACCACTTGCTCTGACATTACTGCAGTAATTCGTTGGTATGAATTGCACGATGCTTCTGAATGGCTGCACAATGGAGTCCTGCACGGCAAGGACTAACTGCACATCCCAATGCTTTCCTCTGAGCTGAGGATGATTTCAGGATACTCAAAAAATGAATGCAGGCATAGATAATTCAGACTTATGCTGTGGTGGAGACATAGCCTAGAAGGAAGCGGAGATATTGAAAGTTATTTTAGCTTGTATTTGTAGTTCAGCTTTCCCATACGGTTTAGACAGGCAAGTATCTTTTATCAATAATAAATAGAGAACTCTGAATAACTCTTGTGTGAAATTATGTATTAAAAAAACCATGAAATAAAAATGTTGTTTTGCAGAACAATTATAAGCAGATCCATGGCAATGCAAGGTGAGTAAAATATAAACAAAATGTCATATTTTGTTAATATCAAAGATAACAGGGGTCCTTCTGAGGTGTTCAAGCAATATTAGCTTAGCTATTAGTTTACCTTCTAATTTTATGAAATATGTATAAATGTTTTAAATTGAAATTATTTACATTTTAAAACTGAATCATTTACAAAACATATATCTTACATTTTCATATCTTGATTTCGGAAGTTAAATAAAATAAATAAATCATCTTGAAATTCAAGTTATTTCTGCTTACAAGCTGAACTTGGTAAATCTTTTTAAATCCATAACCCTCTGAGTCTGCTAGTGAGGCATTAGTATAGTCCTAACTTGAAGAAATTGGGAGAAAATGTTTTATATAGTGGAGAATGGCTCATTACTAGTCTGTTCTGTACAGGATGGCAGCCTGTCAGTTCCCTGGCAATTCTTTGAATTAAGGCCTCCTTCTAAATATAAATGAACAAAGGCACATCTGGTCCAGACAGAGAGTGAACTGACCCTGCTTGAGCAGGGGTTGGACTAGGTGGTCTCAGGAGGTCCCTTCTGAGCTAAATGATTCTGTGATATCTTCATGACATCATGTGCAATACCTGCCTTTTTTCTGCACTTTAAGGATCAGAACTCCTTTAAGTTATACTGATGTTTAGTATATATACTGTGCGTAAATACGAGCTTGTTATACAGTTTTTGCTATACAGAAAACAGCTGCTTAATTTTGTTATGTGTCTACTCTGAAAAAGGAGGCAATGTTGGGGATCTTTTACCCTAGGGTAGGAGGAAACGAGCAATACTGAGAGTATTATGTTCCATTCTTTCCACACGTAAACCTGCACCAGCACCTGGATTTTCAAACTCTAACTATGCACCAGAAAATCAAGTCCCCTATGGCTACCCTCAGCATGCACCTGGGACTTACCAAGGTAGGTTGCTTGGCTACAGATCTACTATACCAGTAGGAAATAAGCACGGGAAATAGGAGGTTTCACAAGCGTGACCATCTCTGATTTACTTCTCTGCTGTTAGTTCTGTAGAGTTTCTGCTAATTTCTGTTTTGCTGAAAAGTCATCTTCTTTCCTTCTTGGTGCTACATGTTAGTAGGTGCTGAGCAGTACCAACAGTGGTAGGAGTTAGAAATGTTGGGTGTTCCTCAGTGGTCACTGTGGGGAGTTTGTTAGGGAGGTGTTACTGATGCAAAGCAATTAATGCGTGGCAGCTTCTTGCTGATAATCAGGTTTTTAATTAACATGGTATTTCAGTATTTCACTTCATTTTTCTCTAGAAATCCAGAACTGAAGAAAGAATTGTTTTCCTCTCGCAGTTCTGCTGGTCCATGTATTCTCTTCCTGTTTCCTACTCTGTTGCTGTACTTGGCACTTTCACTCCTTGGCTTGTCTGCTATCTCATTTTCTGCTCCGCATTCAAAATGCAGCACTCCTAAATAGATTCTCCTGTTCTGGCAACTAATTGCTTTCTGAAGAACCAAATCACAAAGAGTAATATCTAATCAGGCTCAAAGCATAAGTTATAGATAAAATGCAAAAAGTTTGGCCTAAGTTACTGTGCTGTTCAAAAGTTAAAGCCTGTGCACCTTGTGGCGAGGCAATCTGAGGTCTGTAAGCACGGTTAGCTTCAGCGGGGAATGAGCACGCGCTGCCTGTGCGATGAAGGTCAGGGGAGCATTTTTCGTTTTGAATAATTGTACGTGCACACACTTACACACGATAGCAGTCGACAGTCAGTCTGTGTGCAAAGCCTGTGCTCAGACATAAAAGTGGTTTTGTATTCCATAAGGGTGGGTCCTTCTCTGGGGTGAGCGATCCTGCCGCCTATGAGTTTTAAGCTACAGCTGTTTACATCACCTGAGGTACTGTCCTGCTTATGGCCACAGCGTGAGCTTTCGCATGTGACAGTCCATGTATTGTAATGTAATGTGAAGCATCAGTGCTGAACTGATTTGTGCTAAAAATAAGTCTACAAGTCAGTATCTCGAACTATTTGTCTTTGTACAGCTCTACAAAAATACTCTTTGTGGCTTCTGCGTTGTGCTTGCTTCCGAGTAAAATATAAAATTCCTCTGCATCAGATTGAAAGCCTATCTGCCTACCAGAAAAGCATTAAATGAGGGAAAAAATAGAGTTCTTGTTCTGTAACTTTCAATAGCAACTTCAGCAGCTTCAGCTACAAGGTCATAAAGCATCTCTCTAGCAAAGACCACGTTGCTGCGGGACCGTACTCAAGCAAGGCAGGGCTCTGCGCACAGCCGGGGGACGCGGGATGGGTTGTGAGCACTAAGGCAGTGCTGCGTGTGCCATCTGGTGGGGTGCTGAGCATTTAGACCCTGAAGTGCTTCATGAGAGCTTGCGTTTCCTATTGAGTGCTAACTGGGGAAGACTTACTTGGCATGCACAAAATGTGGAACTATTTCTTCCTTTACTATGCACCTCCTCCATGAAGGAGGTGTGGATTTCCTGAGTTTTGAAAGACCATCTGGTTTGAAAACTGCAGATGAACTTTGCTAAAAGGACATTTCCTATCACATAAGTAGAAGGTATAATTCCAGGAAAACTTTGTCTTAAAATTCCTCATTTGCTCAACTGACAACTTGTAAATGCCAATACTTTTAATGTATTTTAAGGTATTCTGCCTTCTCTACTTAGAAATAACCTTCATTGATTTCTTTCTAATTTTTGAATTGCCTATCTTTATGTGAACAAAATTTCTGCTATATTCAAGAATGATGCATTTATTTATTTTGTTTGGTTTTGTCTGCAGGGATTAGAACATCCCAATCCAGTGTAACTTCATGAAAGTTGTAGTATTCATAACTGAAATATATTGTGGGTATGAGGATCTTCATAGTTCAAAATAGTGACCAAGTTAATCTTTTGAAGATCCGTGGGGCAATTCTTTTCCAACATCTAAGTTTCACAACAGCATATCTTCTACCACGCCAGGTGTCGCAGGCGCGGGGAGCTATGGCTTCCAGGTACAGGCCATGGGGGTCCCAGCTGGATTTGCTGTTCCACCCATCCAGAACCAGCCCATCGCGAAGGAGGGGACAATCTGGATGCCCGTCCCTCCTCCTCTTCCCAACTGCCCTCCTGGACTGGAATACCTCACACAGGTACCTGCACCCTTCCTCCTTCCCCAGAGAACAGATATTCACCAGAGAAGCAGCCTGCATCTGTTGAAAAGCTAAAAAAAGCGTCTGGCTTTGTTGCGGCTGCATGGGTTGCTGCTTTTGGGCTGCTGAGTGAAGCTTTTTGTAATGTGATTGATGCATGTTTGAGTGTGGAGGTGCCTGTTAGGGCTGCAGCACTTCATGGAGTACTCTCCTGCCAAGTGAGATGCTAAAGGACCGGGGCCACAGGGCTGTCATACATCCTTCCCATTTCTGAAGCTACTGTTTGTGAGATGTAATGTGATTTGGCAAGGTGTATATAATAAATATATATAATATAGACAACTGTAGCACATTAGAGGTGCTTAATTTTCTACATGATGCTTTCTTCACACCTCTTCATAATGTTGTTAGGAGACGCGCTAGTCAGGCTTCACAACGTAGAGAATGCTAATAGCAAAATAAGAATTTTTTCCACACTATAGAATATGTCCTTGTACCGTAAAAGTGCAGTTCATCTCCTCACTGGGAGCAAATATCAAGGCTTAACACTGGTGTATTGTTGCTAGTTTTGCAAATTGCTCAAAAAAAAAAAAAAAAAAAAA